GGGGGGGGGGGGGGGGGGCTGGACAAGCGCGGCAGAGGGACTAAACTAATGGGTACGGTGTGGTGCTGCTTTGATTGATTTGCTGTAACTAACAGGAGGAGGTCAAGGAGGATGACCAGCAATGGGACGGCGTCGAGCAATGGGACGCGGGGAATGACCCGTTCATGAGGCCCGACGCCACCATTCTGACCAAGGCACTACAGCCGGGGGAAAGCCCCAGGAACACAGAAGGTACACACGGCAGGGCAGGGCAGCACGGCATCGGCCCATCCTCGATGTGTCTGTGTCTGTGTATCAAATGCCTGCTGCAGATGATCCGGTCGGCAAGGGTGTGCTGACGCGTCGCTTGGAGGCCGATGTGGTGGTGGCTGGCGGCGGCTCGGCAGGCAGTGCCGCTGCCCTCGCTGCCGCGCGCAGCGGAGCCAAGACCGTCATCATCCAAGGAAGGTACGCATACCACACCCAGAGGGGAGAGACAATTAACCGACACGATTGACACACCGGTTGCTTTGACTTCCTCTCTTTCTGACAGAGGTGTGTTGGGTGGCAACATGTCTTCTGAGTCGAAGCTGCATCCCGTGGGCGCCGACCGCGAGGGCCACCGGGGCGTCGAGTGGGAGTCGGAAGCCCGTGAGGGCGGCATCATTGAGGAGTACACTTTGCAGAACTCCGTCGACAATCCGCAGCGCGCCGCCTCGCTCCACGACCTCACTCTCTACGACTTCTTCCGCGAGCGGGACAACTGCACGCTGCTCCTCAACACGTGGGTCATCGGCGCCACCAAGGTGCCGTCAGAGGACGGGAAGGACTGGACGGTCACTGAGGTGCTGGCGGAGAACCAGGAGGCGCAGCTGCAGTACATCGTGACGGCCAAGGTGTTCATCGACGCGACGGGGGACGGTCGACTGGGCGCCGAGGCGGACGTCCCTTACATAATTGGCCGGGAGGGCAAGGACACTTTCAACGAGTCCCTGGCCGACCTGCACGACGACAACGAGACCATGGGCAGCTCCCTAGCCTTCACGAGCAAGAACTACGGCCGGCCGATGAAGTTCACACCGCCAAGGTGGGCGACCAAGTACAACGACAGCGACTGGGAGTTCCGGCCCATCCGCTCGAACAACATTGACTACGGCTACTGGTTCATAGAGGTCGCGTGGCCGTATAACATGATACGCGACAACGAGATGGTCCGCGACCGGCTGATGGAGAGCGTCCTGGGCACATGGGACTACATTAAGAACAGCGGCAAGTTCCCGGAGGCGGAGAACCTCGGCCTCGATTGGCTCGAGTGGTGGCCCTGCAAGCGAGAAGGTGAGAAAGACCGACCCTCCTCACACGGACGTCGCCTTGATGCCGACGCGGTTGGATTGGTCCCCTCTGTGTGTGTGTGGTATCTATCTGTGCAGGTCGGCGATTCCGTGGTCAGTATATCATGACGCAGAACGACATTCTGCCCGACCCGTTGGCGGAGCCGTCGAGTGTGCCAGCGCCCACGCTCTACTGGGACCGTGTCAGCCACGGGGGGTGGAACCTCGACCTGCACTCCATCAAGGGCATCCTCGACACGCACTCGGCTGCGTACGCATCCTACTACCTGCCATGGATGTACAGGTGCGTCTGTCTCGGTCAGAGCGATGTCTGCAAAGAACGATGGGCACCCATCATTTGGGTGTATTGGGTGTGGTTTGGTTTGGTTTGCAGCACCCCTCTCCGATCTCTTGTGGCCCTGAACGCGACTAACCTGATGCTGGCGGGCCGTTTGGCGTCGTTCTCCCACGTGGTATTCGGCAGCCAGAGAGTCATGAAGACCTGCGCGGCGATCGGCCAGGCGGCAGGCACCGCTGCGGCCTACTGCGCCATCAACGGCATCGACCCCAAGGACATCACCAGAAACCCTGGTAACAATTCGACAAGAAGGGGAGAGAGGGGCGGGTGACCCCCGTGTGTGTGTGCGTGCTGTGATGTTGGTTGCAGCTGCTGTGTGGAGCATCCAGCAGCAGCTGTTGCGTGACGACCAGTACATCATCGGCATGTACAATGAAGACCCGCGGGACTATGCCCTGAAGGCCAGTGAGGTCACCGCCTCGTCCGAGTGGAGCAACGGCACCTACAACGGAAGCGCCGTGCAGGTCTGTGCCACGCCCATCATGGGCCTACACATCACAGCGCTACGGTACATGTATCGTGTGGTGGTGCGGTGTGGTGGTGGTGCAGGTGTTGACAGGTCAGACGCGCGCCGTGTTTGGCGACGGCGGTGTGCACGCTTCTCAGCGAATCGACAACATCAACCGGTGGGTCAGTGCTGAGCTGCCCGCCTGGATCGCACTCAAGTGGACAACACCCATCAAGGACCTCACTCTGGTATGGTGAATAAAGGGGCAGTCGGGTGACATGACACACATGTGTAATAAATACTACTCTGTCGTCTTTTGTTTGTGTGTGTGCAGGTTGAGCTGGTCTTTGACACGGGCATGCACCGCACTCTGATGATGTCGCAGAAACTCAGCGACATGAACCGCATGGTAACTGACACACACGACAAGACGCAGCAAGCTGACCCCTCCCTCCCTCCCATCAAAGCAAAGCAACGCTTGTGTGTGTATTTGCCATTGCCAAAAGGTGTGGGGCCGCCCACAGCCCGAGACAGTCCAGAACTACGACATCCAGGTGCAGCTCGCCAGCGACAGCCCCGACATGTGGCGGACGGTCGCCCAGATCGAAGGCAACTACCTGCGCAAGAGGTCGCACAACGTGGCCGCAGAAGTGCGGCAGGCCGACACATCCGGGGAGGGCGTCAAGGCGGTGCGGATCTTCGTGCGGTCTGCCAACGGCATCGACCAGGCGCGCATCTTTGAGGTGAGGGTGTACGGCCCTGAGGGTCTGTCGAAGTTTCCCTCGATGCCCGCGGGGTACACTGTCAAGGGGGGGCGGCTGGTGAGGCAGTCGTCGCACAGCAAGAGCGAGACACACTCACGGAGGCGGCTGCTCGTGTGAGTGATGGGGCGGCGCGGTGGGGGTGGGCATCGGTAGTGCAATATTGGTATGCACATGGCATGCACACGGCATTGGCTGGTGTATATATTTATGTGTGTTGGGTCCGGTCCTTTCGTGTGCTGGGGTGGCCTTTTGTCAATGCAGTCAGATTATATGCCTTGATGTCATGGCTGATGCATTCGTCTACCTAAATGTGTCTCAGTGACGTGACGTGACGTGATGTGACCTGTGGGGTTTTGACGGTTTGCGGTGCGGTGTTGCCCGCCAGCCCCCCCGCCACCTCACTGGTGAAGCCCCTGTGTTTCTCTTGCCTATACTGCCTGCTTGTTTGTCTGCTTTGCTTTGTCTGTCTGTCTGTCTGTCTGAGGTTTGATATGTCTTGCCTGTGTGATGTGTCATACAGTAGCAGCAGCCGGGTGCCGACCGGGCAGGAGAGGTTTGGGTGTGTCCTGCAGTGCGTGTGTATGTGTGTGTGTATGTGCGTGCGTGTGTGCCGACCGTCTGCCTTTTTGCTTGCCTCTGCCTGCCTGCCTGCCTGCCTGCCTGGTGTCGCGTGTGTGCTCTCACCGATTGGATTGCGCCTGATTGGAATGGATGGCTTGTTGGGCTTTTTTCTTCCCCTTCGTCTCTGCTCTGCTCTGACCTGCCTTGACCTGCTCTGGGCTGTGCGAGTCGTCCTGATGCATACGATACGTCCGGCCATAGCTTTCTCCCTCCCTCCCTCCCTGCACACAGAGCTGCGTGTCGTGTACTGTGTGATGCGTACCAATGCGCGCGATGATGCGGAATGGGCTGAGGGAAGTCGTGTGCTGATGGTCGAAGCAACACGCCACGATCGCTCGCTCCCACTAGCTGTCTGTCTGTCTGTCTGTCTGTTTGTTACCTTTATCTCTATCGTGCCATGGCTCCGTCCTTTGTTCTGTGATCGTAGGTGTAATCTCTTTCTCTGCCCCTCCCCACCCCACCCCTCCCCACCACCCACCAGACCCCTCTCGCTCTCTCTGTGCGCTTGTCTGGTGTGTGTGTATGTGTATAGGTAACCCAACCTGCCTGCATTTGTGTCTCCATCTCATCTGTCCATCGTACCTGTTGGTGTGCATGGCATGCGTGTGCATATATGTGTGTGTGTGTGTGTGATGATGTCGTGTCACTATCTAATCCAATATCTGTTGGTCGCCTGACAGCGCGTGCAGAGAGGACAGAAGGCGGCAGGCAGGCAGGCGCTAATTATCCATTCTTCTGTATGATGTAGGCTAGGCATGAGCCTCTTGCGTGGCTGGCTGGTCAGATGAGCCGAGCCAGGCCAGAGGGCCTGTGCAGTGCAGGCAGGCCAGGCAGGCGATGCGGCCAGCGAATGAGACACACACGAGGCATCGCATCCCGACAGACACACACTGTGCATGCGATTGCGATTGTCCCATCCACTCTCTCCACTCACAGATATAGCCAGCTGGCTACTGAGTGGAGTGTGTGATGACGTGTCGTATCACGATGGATGGATGGATGGAAGACAGAGAGAGAGAGACGTAATTCGTGTTTTGTCGAGGCGCTCGGTGGAATGTGGCGTGTCTGTCTCTTATGTGCCTGCCGTGCCCTCTCTCCCTCTTTAGGTGGGCTGGCAGGAATCAATATCCATGGCGATCCATGGACGTCCATATACATATGTGGATGTGTGGATGTGTGTACGTGTGCGTCTGCCATGATTGATCTCAGTCAGCTAGCTAGTCTGTGCGAGTTTTTGACCGCGGAATGGACGGGCGTCGCAGGCAATTGTAAACTCAGAATTGAGGTCATGCAGAAGAGATCTATACTCCCAAGGAGCGTCCACCACAGGCCCAGGCGGCTACGGCAGCGTCCCGCCACCATCACACCCAAGGCCACATCACAACGAGGCCGGCACCACCAACAGAGTAGAGGATGGCCGGCTGGAGGAGGGCCAGCCGGCCGCTCCTGTGGCGCAACCAACCTCGGGCGGCGGCAGGGGCCATGTGGAGGAATTTGAGGCACGTCTGCAATGAAAAACTGCTGGAAGAATATGGCAATGGTGCATCCATCACTCTCTCTTCTATCTTTGTGTGCGGTGTTTGTTCTCCCGTCCGTGTGTGCGCAGTCCGATACCGAGTCAGCGTCGTTTATCGGGTGGATGACCGTCCTCTTCTTCGCACACTACCTCATTGGGTGGGTGGGTGAGGAAAAGGCTAAAGGGAGAGAAGGAGAGGACGGAATGCAATGAATGCCCCTGTCTGTCAGTTTGCGCACCTGTGCGTGTCCGTGCGTGTGTGCAGTGCCATTGTGTATCGCATTGTGGAGGGCTGGAGTATCGTTGACGCCCTCTATTTCTGTGCAGTAAGCACACGCAAACACAAACACAACCACCGGCTCTTTCCTTTCTTATGTTTGTCAGGTGACAAGTAAGCTGTGTCTTGCTGGCTGCATACACGCAGCTTACGTGTCTGCGTGTCTGCTGGTTGTGTTGGTTGCTGCCTCCCTCCCCTCCAGTGACTACTGTTGGCTACGGGGACCTGCTGCCGACCTCAGCGGCCATGCAAGGCTTCACCGTCGCATACATCTGGATGAGCATGGGGCTGATCTCATTCGCTGTGGGGCACGTGACGGCCAAGGCAATGGAGGACAGAGAGGAGGAGCTGCTGGGCGCCGCCGCCGCCGCTATAATGGTCGGCCGGGAGAGGCGAGCGAGGAGAGGGACAAAGCTCTGCACTGAATGTTTGTTCTGTGTTGTCGATAACGGGACGTCAGGATAATGAGACGCGGCAGTACTTCAAGATCACCGTCTCTCTCACCAAGATAGTGCTCTTCCTCCTCAGTGGAGCGGTACAGACAGACACGACCAACACGCCACACCATGTGGCCCGAAGCCATCCATCCAGCCGTGGTTGCTTTGTTCCCTCTCTGCCTTGATTGCAGTTCTTTTTCAGCTACTTTGAGGGCTGGACGTTCCTCGAGGGCCTCTACTTCTGCACCGTCACCATCACTTCTGTGGGATACGGAGGTCAGCACACACATCCTATGTTGCCCGGCGCATACCACCTACCCACGGGCGCCGCGCCCTTTCATGCAGATCTGACGCCGTCTGGTGAGTACATCAAGATGGTGTGCACCCTGTACGTTTTCATCGGCGTCATCATGACGTCAAATGTCATCGGACAGGCACGTTGTGCGCACACACAAGGGTCCCGATTCAGAACGAATCTGTAGTGTCTCGTGTGTTGATATGGATGGGTGCAGGTGACGAAGCAGATTGTGGACAGCCGGCTGCGGGCAGAGAGGGAGCGCTTCTACGCCAAGGCACTCACACTTGAAAGGTAGGTAGGTAGTCAGGCAGGCCATCCATCCATCCATCAGGCGAGGATACATATAGCCCCGCGCATGTGTGTGTGGACAGGTTGATAGCGATAGATAAGGACGGCAGCGGGGCCATATCGGGAGCCGAGTTCCTCATCTACATGCTCGAAAAGACCAGACTGGTGGGGGGTGGCTTGACCGGCTGACAGACGGAGGGCACACACGTTTGTGTCTGTGTGTTAGGTGGACAAGGACGACCTGGACAAGATCCACAAGACATTCCAGCACTTCGACAAGACGGGCGACGGCGAGATCTCCATCGACGACCTCAAGGAGCTGGTCGACAGAAAGGGCCAGCTGTCACAGGAAGGGGCCGCCCTGGCTTCACCAAGAGGGCCGGGCTTCTTCTCCCAGCTGTCGCACTCAGTGGGGCAGCTGGCTCAGGGCACCATGGCACGCACCGGCATGATGGCACGGGGTGGACCCAGAGAGCTCAGTGGGTCGCCCCCTGCATGAGGTGCAGTGCTGTGGTGGCGCTGGTGTCCCGGTGCGTGTGTGCATGTGCTCGAGACATAGGGAGGTGAGGTGCGTAGTGCTGCCACGATAGATAGATATGCGTCAGCCAGCCAGCGAGTGGTTACGTACTTACATGAGGAGTGAGTGGACCGTCAGCGCAGCCAATCACTTCAAAAATACATGCAGCATCTGATGTGGTGCGTACGTGTAAAGTCGATCCAGACTGACAGGCAGACAGACAGACACACACACACATGCACCCACCCCCACAGAGACACACACACGCACGCACGCAACATTGGATTGAAATGCTCTTCTTTGACACAAAAGGATGCTACACCCAAGAACGGATGGATGGATGGATGGATGGATGGATAAGCGTGTGAGCGCGTCTATGTCACAGACAAAGTCTCACTACACACACACACTCACACACACCCATACCATACACGGAGACGAGAATCCTGTGTGTGCCTTTGTTCGCTTCCACCCCTCGCAAAAATTTAATGCGTGCTGCCTTTGGCAGCGCCCCCGCCTCCCCTCCCCCTCTCCCACCCCTCCCCCACACACACATGCACTGCTATAATATTAGGTCGTTGGCCTCAGCTCAGCACATTTCGACAGTCTTGGATGGCGCCCCTGATGCTGCCGCGGCCGTCCCTGACGATGAGGGCTTGGCTGGCGGCGCAGACAGGTCCTCGTTGCTCGCACGGCCGAATACTTGTACGCCGCCTGCAGACAGGCAAACAAAGACCACCCCACCCACACGCAGTAGCGGTGAGAAGAGACATGACATGTGCAGAATGCACACACGATGCGCACCGAATGGTCCATCGTTTTGGAAGGTGCCTTGCGTCATCTGTCGCTTCGCGCGCCGCAACAACACTATAATACACACAGAACAGACACACACTGCAGTTATTGTCGGCACAGCACCAGGCAGGCAGGCACATATACATACATACCGGACTGGTAGATGGCGGCCCCAAAAGAGATGAGGAATAGCGCCGTGACGGCGAGGAGCAGCAGCGACAGCCGCTGCACCGCACGCTTGTCACGCTTCGTGACAGTCGTGGTGGGCTCCGGCTCGCTGCCGCCCCCCGAGCCAGGACCGGGGTCCACCTCCCTCCCTGACGACTGCACAATCGGACCTGGCTCCTCGGCCGACACGGGAGCCCTGCCAGCCAAAGAAAGGACACACACAGGGGAGAGAGGGAGAGAGAGAGACGTCCATCCCATTATCTATCCCTGTGTGCGTGTGT